GGGCAGGGGGGGAAGGGAGGGAAATGCACGGGACTATGGTGGTGGCACAGGGGTGATTTGGTGATGGGAAACCCGTGGGGATTACAATCGAGATGGAAAAAAAAATGCAAAATGATGTAAAAATAAACTCTGTAATAAAAAAAAAATGTTAAGCAGTTGAAATATACATCAACAAAGTACAGCAAATGTTTTGTGTCTATTCTAACCTGCCTCTTACAGATCCCCCTCATAAATATAAGTACCCAAGAACAGGACATAGGTAAGTCTATAAAATTTTGTTTTAATATATTTCATCTGATCCCCTTTGATACTCAGATTTTTTCCCCAGGAATAGTGAGAAATAAACCACAAAAGAGCAAAACACACATTCATGTTATAAGAGTCAGGACAGTTGTTAGCCCATAACCTCTTCTGAAAACTGTAAAGAGGGCTAATGCTAAAATGTTCCTAGAGAAAAGTTTATAAATCTGCTACCACAGGAAACCAGGAGGTCAGGTCCCACCATTATGAAAATTCACAACTAAAGTTTCCTTCTAAGTACTAGGATTGGTATTAGCCAACTCCAGCACCAAATTTTAGTCTTTCACTTTTCCTAGATAATTTCATCCAAAGTTCACTTTCACAAATACTACTTTAGAAAAATCCCTACCACCATTTTGCTTTTTTTTTAAGATTTATTTATGGGCCCACCCTGCTGGCACAACAGGTTAAAGCACAGCACTATGAAACCATCACTGCCACTGCAGCATGAGTTCAATCCCCCAGCCAGGGAGGTGACCCACATGATGTGGCAGACTAATCTTGACCTGTCCCACTACTCCTCTCAGCAGTGTATTTCAGTGGATCTGCCTGTTCTGTCCCCTACTCTGTCTCTGGTGAATCCTCTCAGCCCCTGTACCTATGGCCTGTACCCCAGTGCTGTATTCTGTGTGCATAAATAAATAAATCTTTTTTTAAAAAAGATTGTGCATGTGTGTAAAAAACACATCACTCTTCATTTTGTATATTTTTTCATCTCAGATGTAACCCCTGTGGACATCCCACCAGTTCACCCACATGTGCCATCACCATAGTCCCATGAGCTCTTTCTGCCCAGTTTTGATCCTATTCTCCACTCTACCCTATAGAATGTCTCCGGTTTATAGATGTTTGTTCATTTTCATTTTTACTTTATTACAACTGCTTTTTTGTCCCCCTGACCCCTGACACTCCTGTTATGAGTGAAACCATCTAGTACAAGAGTGGGGGTGTAGGCCAGAGGTATGGGGTTGGTGAGAGGATTCACCAGAGACAGAGTGGGAGCAGAACAGACAGATGTACTGAAATACACTGCTGAGAGGAGGAGTGGGAGAGTCAGGCGAGCCAGGAAAGTCTGCTGTGTAATGTAGGCTAGCTCCCTGGCCAGGGATCGAACTCATGCTACAGTGGCTGACAGCTTGATAGCCCTGTTTTTAACCCATGTGCCACCAGGGAGGCCCCTCATTTTGCTCCTTTAAAATTTTACTATGGAAAATACTGAACATATTCATAAGTCAAAAGATTAATATAATGAAACTCCATGCAATAATTATCAACATGTGGTATACCCTGTTTTCTCACCAACTTCTGGATTTAGCAGCCAATGCTAGAAATTATTTCATCAATAGATATTTTAGTGTCCATTTCTGCATAAAAACCTCAATTAAAAAAATCTTAATACTATTATACATTAGTATAATTTTTCAGGAAATATCCAGTTGGTATACTTCCCCATTTGTCTTGTGTGTTTTACTTATTTTATCACTTAAATAATTTTGTTCTTAATTGAAGTAACACTGTATTTAACATTACTGGTTTCAAGTGTACACCATTACAAATCAGTATATATGCTTGATTGTACACTTGAAACCAATGTTTTATTTATTTATATATATAGACATACATACACATACACACACACTCAGCATTGTATTTCAGGAGATTTGCCTGTTCTGCTCCCCACTCTGTCTCTGGTGAATCTTCTCACTTCCCCCTTACCTCTGGCCTATACCCCAGCTCTTGTACGCATTAATAAATAAAATTTTTTTTTTTAGAAAATACCAGATGGTTTCACTCATAGCAAGAGTGTAAGGGATCAGAAGAAAAAAAAAGCAATTGCAATAAAGTAAAAATCAAAATTTGTGTGTGTATACATACATACATACACATATATAATGTGCGTGTATATAGTGTGTGTATAGTGTATGTATATATGTGTGTGTGTATATATAGTGTGTATATACACAACTATATTTATATAGTGTATACTCACACACTATATTAAGCTCACCACTAAAAGTCTACTTCGATCTTTCATCACATAGAAGACCCCTTTTATCTGATTTACCCTATTCCTCCTTCTTTTCTAGTAATCACTAATAAAAATATAGAATGTGTCACAAATTTTCATGTAATTCATATACAGGAATAATGCTAATCTGTGCATTATTCCAATTTTCATATATGTGCTCATAATTCTTTTTTATGTTGCCATTTCAAATTATTACACATTTCTTTTTTTGTTTGTTTTTTAAAGATTTATCTTTTTATGCATACACAACTGGGGTACAGGCCAGAAGTGTAAGGGTGGTGAGATGATTCACCAGAGACAAAGTGGGAAGCAGAATAAGCAGAGTGATGAAGTACACTGCTGAGGGGAGCAGCAGACCACAGGAGAGGTCTGCTGCGCCATGTGGATTGAACTGGAGCAGAGGATTGAACTCGCACTGAAGTGGCTGCAGCTAGCTTGCAGTGCTGCATTTTAACCCATTATGCCACCAGGGAGGGCCCATATTACACATTTCTGATATGTGTCTGAGTCTCTTTAAATCTACAGGATCCCTTCCCTTTTCAACCATCTTCCCCTTTTAATTTATTTGTTAGAGAAACTGGGCATTTTGCTTGGTAGTTTCCCATAAACTAGGTTTGGTTATGGATTATTCTGAAGTCATTTGACATGTTTTCCTGTTCCTAAATTTTCTATTAAGCTGTAAGTTAAGTCTAGGAGTTCGATCAGATTAGGTTTATATTATGTACTTCCCAATGCAAGACTCAGAGTACAAAACATCTGACTATACCTGTTTGAATGCTAAGTTTGTACACTGGGAGCCCTCCTTGGTGGTGCAGCAGGTTGGAGCACAGTACTGCAAAGCTGCCCATTGCTGCTTCAGTGCAAGTTCAACCTGGGCACCTGAGGTGATCCACATGGGGAGGTTGACCTCTCCTGTCTCATCCGCTGCTCCCCTCAGCAAAGTACTTCATCAATCTGACTGTTCTGCTCCCCATTCTGTTTCCAGTGAATTCTCTCACTATTCCTACAAGTTTGGCCTGTACCCCATATTTTTATGCATAAATAAATAAATCTTAAAAAAAAATTGAACACTGGGTCCAGTTCTTTCCTACACCAATCCATATCCTTATTAACATCTGTTAACTCTTTACCTCAATATATGAGAATTACAAAATGGCATTAAACTAGTTCTCTTATCCCTGCTGTATTTATTAGCTGAAATTCTTTTATTAAAAACAAATTTCAAAAAAAAAATTTTCCGGCCCCTCCTTGGTGGCGCAGCACTACAGGCAAGTCACAGACGCTTCAGTGCAAGTTTGATCCCGGGCCCAGAGCTGACCCACATAGTATGGCAGACCTCTCCTGACCCGCCCACTGCTTCCCTCAGCAGTGTATTTCGTTGATCTGCCCATTCTGCTCCCCGCTCTGTCTTTAGTAAATCCTCTCACCGCCCCTGCACCTCTGGCTTGTACCCCAGTTCTGTATGCATAAATAAATAAATCTTTAAAAAAAAACAAAAACAAATCTCCATTGTAAACAACTTGGCATCCTGAGATAAAGTCTATATAATAAAGCCAAATAGATGTTTGATCCCATTATTTTTAATCACTTATAAAAGTGAGCTGTATCCCTTGTACTCTCTAAAGGCAGCCAGTGAGGCTTTATTTGGTAAACTGTTGTTATTGTTGTTGTTTGGTATTGTTATTCATTTTTGTATCTAGTTAGTTAATATCATTCAATTCACTACAGTGAATTGTCCCCTCTTTGGCTAATGAAGATTCCAGCAAATGAGTTCCTAAATCAATATGAGCACTTCCGGTATAGTCTTAGATACATTCCTTGCTTTCTAGGAAGACAAGGTTTTCCATAGTGGGAAAACAGCATGTGGGCTCCAGAGTTTGGATGTTCATGGCTACTTTCCCGTCATCATTTCTAGACTTTTTCAGTAGAAAAGTGCTAAGAAAAATTTTTTTTTAAATAAAGATAATTCAATATGAGTCCACACTGACATTTCAAACATGCCTTTGGTAATATAGGCTCTTCACTAATCTTTTTTATTTTAATTTTTGAATCTCTTTTCTCTTTTTTTGAAAATCTTGAAAATAGCAAAATTCCTATTGCCATTTTTCTTTTGTTCTATTCTTCAATATGTTTTTTGAAATAATGATAACAATACTATTACCAAAAATATAAATACAGGGGCCCTCCCTGGTAGCGCAGCGGGTTAAAGCACAGCACTGAGAAGCTAAAGCCACTTCAGCATGAGTTCCAATCCCGCCTGCCCCGGAGGTGACCACATGGCGTGGCAGACCTCTCCTGACCCGCCCGCTGCTCTCCTCAGCAGTGTACTTTGTAGTCAGCCTGTTCTGCTCCCCACTCTGTCTCTGGTGAAGCCTCTCGCCACCCCTGAGCCTCTGGCCTGTACCCCAGTTCTGTATGAACAAATAAATAAAATCTTTTAAAAAAATAATAATAAAATAAATACAAGTGAAGATCTCTTTGTAATTCTTTTTTCAACCTTAAAATATACCCCCATAAATATAGTAATTAACATATGTGTTTATAATCATTACTATTTGACTAATCCACCAACTCAAGACAGATTCATTTGCTTCATTTTGCTTTCAAAATTTGTGAGTTGGCTTTCCCCTCAGATTTAATTTTAATAATATGTAAAATAACTTAAAATGTTCCAAAGTGAAGACTATTAAAACAGGCCCATTCAGAAAATGTTAGTTCTTCTACCACATTCCCATTATACTCCTATTGAGAACACTTTTCATGTTGGTTTAAGTTTCCTCTCACTTTTAATATGAGCTAATATATATTAATATAATGCCTTCTTAGACAAAGGCAGCACAGTTTATGCATTAAAGAAAATCCATTTCAAAAAGGTATGCTTACTTCAATATATAGGCTTTTTGGAGGTTTCATATCCTGTGTAATGTCTAAACCTTCATATCCTCCCAATGACCTCATATATGTAGCAAGAGACTTCTTGTAATGATTGAACCACTCCATCTGCAAATATAAAAGTGGTCACTGGATAAAGTTATAAGAATACGAACTTGCAGAAACTACATATGCATACTTTCAAAATTAGCACACTTCACTACATGGATCATTAGTATGACCATTTATTCATTTAAACTACTAATATTATTGACGGCTATGAACCAGGCACTGGTCTTGGATCTTAAGAAAGATCATTCAACAAAGTAAACACAATTTCTGTTCTCAAAGTACTTATATCCTACCTACTATGCTTAGTCACAGTATAAGAACAACAGAAACAAAATCAGGTAAGTTACACAATTTTAGAATTATGATCTCCTCAATTATAAAACACGATTGACAAAAACACCCAAATGTTCACCAAATGAATGAATGTTTGTTCATCCAATGGAATATTATTTAGTCATAAATTGGAATGAAGTTCTGATCCACATTATACATGGATGAAGCGAAAATGTGCTAAATGAAAAAGACACAAAAGGCTACATACTGCATGATTCTTTACATGAAAAATCCATAGTAGACAAATATAAGGGCAGGAAATAGAATTTTCAGGGATTGGGAAGAGGAGAGAGAATATGGGGCAACTGAAGATTATAGGGTTTCTTTTACAGGTAATGAGAATGTTCTAGAATAAAATAGACAACTATGAACTCTATATTTTAAAAGATGTGCTAGAATTCTATATGAAAAATACTAAATTGTTATATAGCTTGGTGCCTGGGTAGTCCTGATTCCACAGGGAAAGGAGACCAGAAGCTTTATGTTTAGGACACTACCATTCCTCATCCTAAGTTATATGGCACCTAAGTTATACAGTACCCAGCTATATAAGCTTATGTGGATTATATTTTAGTGAATTTGTTGTTTTAAAAACTGTTGAGGAAAATGAAAGATCTAAATAAAGAGAAGGACATGCCACATTTGTCAATTACATGGTTCAATATTATAAAACTGTCAAGTCATTTATAGATTCAATTAAACCTCAATCAAAATCTTAATTTTTAATGAAATTTGAGAAATGAATATAAAATTTACATGGAAATACAAAGGGCCAAAATAGTGAGACACTCTTAATAAAAATAAGATGAGACTTACTATAAAGTTACAGTAATTAAAAACAGTACAGAACTGACAGGCATAGATAAAAGAAACACAGAAGGAAAAGTTGCCCATTAAAAATCCAAGTACACTGACAATTTATGACAAAAGTGGTATCACACAGCAGTGGGGAAAAGAAGATCCTTTCAAGAAACGGTGCTGGGTCACCTCAATATCCATATTTGAAATACAACTTTACTTCTACATTATATAAAAAAAAAAAAAACACCAATCCAGTACTATAGGTCTCTGTGGGAAAGATAAAGCAATATAACTTCTAAAAAGACTACAGAGAAATAGAGTCCCCAAGATTTAATAGTTCTCCAGAAGAATGACTCACAGTACTCAGGGAAGCACTATGTTGACAATGATAGTTTTACTATAGTGAAAAGGTTACAAGTCAAAACCAGCCAAAGGAAGAGACACTTAGGATGAGAAGTGGGAGGGTCCTAAACATAAAGCTTCTCCCTGTGGAATGAGGACTATCCAGACACCCTGCTATAAAGCAGTGTACACAAACCACTGTCAACTAGGGAAGTTTATACAAGCTTTGGTGTTCAGGATATTTATCAGGGTTCTTTACAAAGTAATGACAGATGGAATCATGACCATGAGATAAGCTCCTTCTATTTTCCCACTCCTCTCTGTATGTGAGACTAATAACAAGTGGATCAAACCTCAAAATTTGGAAAATGTCTAATTTTGTAGTCAGCTAGTCAGAGCAAGAGTTCCTGAAAGTTCCCAAACTTATGAGTGGTGTCTGAAATGAGGGCAGTCTTAACCTGTGAAGTTTAGTCTAACACAAGGTAGGTGTCACTGCTATGCTGTATATGTAAATACTACAACCAATCTTTACTTTGTAAATGAGAATAATTCAGGAATAAAGAGATCAAGTCACTTTCAAGATTAGATGGTAGGAGAGCCAAGGTCTACACCACACTGGCTTGATTCTAAATTCTGTGTCCTTACACATTAGGCTACCTTTGCACCTCAGTGACTGCACAAATAAAGAATTTCTTACAAATGTTTATATAATGCATACATATTTAATGGAAATAATAATTCTAGTTTTTTTTTTTTTAAAGATTCATTTATTTGTGCACACAGAACTGGTGTACAGGTCAGAGGTGCAGGGGTGGTGTGAGGATTCACCAGAGACAGAGTGGGGAGCAGAACAGGCTAACTGACAAAATATACTGCTGAGGGGGAGCAACCTCCGGGGCAGACAGGGATTGAACTCATGCGGAAGTGGCTTTAGATTCTTAGTGCTATGCTTTAACCCACTGCACCACCAAGGAGGGCTAATTCTAGTTTTTTAATCTTACTAATGAATCACTAGTAAGTAACATTATGGGACTCTTTATTTTGTTAAGTAATAACAGTTTTCCATATAGCATTCAGAATTACTCCTATCGTTTTCATCATAACATATATTAAATTAATACAGGCAAAAATTTTCTGAAAATATGTTAAACAGAGAGAAATATCAGTAAATATTATTATAGAACAATGCCAGAACCTCAGCATTTTTCAAATTCAAATGAACGTGAAGGACAATACTAACTTACTTCTTCAGCAGACATGTGAAATCGTAAAGTATTTGGCAGGACGCTACCATATTCCCACCTGAGCGCTCTAATCCGAAGCAAACGGTCATACCTAAGGCATTAAGAAGGTATTAGACAGCATAATAAAAAGGGGTATCAGAGGTCGCCTTGATCAGAAGAGATGCAAGGCTCAACAACCCAAATGTAAAATATTGACTCTATTAGGCTCCTAAGGCAAAAAATAAAAGCAGCTATAAGAATACATCTGTGTCATGTGGCATAAAAAGAGACACACACACATGCATAATGGGCTATTATTCAACAATCAAAAAAGAGAAATGCATGTCATTTGCAGCAACATTGATGGAGTTGGATCATAGCACATGAAATAAGTCAGAAAGAGAAGGAAAAAGTACTGGATGATTTCACTTATAGGAAGAATACAGGGAAATCAAACAATGGATCAGAGGGGAAAAAAAGAAACCTAAAATGCAAATCATAAATCCAAGACATACAGCAGAGGAGGAAGATGGAGAGGGTCAAAACAGGAGGGAAGAGCATAAGGATGCTGGCTCACCAATGAAGTAGTGGTGGGAGTTTTAAAGGGTTAACAAATCAAATCAAATATTGTACAAAATTAAACACTGTACAAAAATTAACAATGTAAAAATTAATAATAAAAAAAAGAACACATCTTTGGGGCAATAGAGAAAAACATGAATATGGACTGGATTGATACCACTTAGTCTTGTTCACTTCTCTTGGTGGGAGAATGGTACAGAGGTCATATGAGATAATAAATAAAAAAGTCCTATTTCTTAGAAGTGTACACTAAAGTATGTAGTCATAATAATGTTATGATGTGCTACAACAGTGTAGCATAGACAAAGCAAGATGACACAAACATGAACATGTTAAAAATTGTTAAGTCTATGTGATAACTACAAGAATTAGTAACATTATTTTTCCTAGTTTTATAGTCACCGTAATTTCATAATTTTAGAATTTTTAATTTGAAAGAGAGATGAATTTAGAATGCCTACAAAGAAAAACAAATCTAAACATTTCTTATCCATCTGGAATGATTAATTAGGAAAACCTTCCATGCCATCAAATGAGAAAACTGAAAAGCTTACAGGTATGCTATAGTGCAACGTCTATTTCTTAACAATGAACAATGTCGAAATTTGATTGTTGGTATCAATTCACTTCTTCCACCTGACTTTGCCTCATTCCTGTTAAGAACATTTAAAGAAAAAAAGAACAAATTTGTGTATTTCAGTACAAGTAAAGTTTTCAAAGTCAACTCACAGGCTTGTTTTTACCTATTTATGACTGACAGTGAACTTAAGTAATACTACCTACCTGGCTTGATTCTAAATTCTGTGTCCTTAAACATTAGGAGATTTTCATTAAATATGCTAAGAAATAAGAAAGCCAAAACTGAGTAGTTCACTTAAGATCAAGTTTTTCCATATTGTACTTTGCATTTTTGCATGCAGATCAATCTTCCTATTTCCAAAAGACAAAGATTCTGTTTAATAAAACTTTTCACAATTCCTTTATCATGCTGGAATAACAGGCCAAACCTATCATGGCTCAGAAGATTATGATCTTATATCATGTCTTAACTGTATATATATTCCTCTTATATATATATATGTGTGTGTGTGTATATATGTATATATATATATATATATACATATATACACACACACACACATATATATACAAATCATCATTGTAAGAATTAAAATGTGGTCAAAATGGTCCTTCACTCATGCAACAAATATTTTTTGGTCAACTATGTATATACATTTTACTTCACAGTGTTCTTCACAGAGAGGAGAAATTTTTTATTTTCCCTAAAAAATGTATTAGGTATTAGACAAATATTGGAAAAATTATGACAGCTAAACAATATTACGAATGTGTTTAATACTATTCAACTGTACACTTAAGAATGGTTAAGATGGTAAATTTTAAGTTATGTGAATTTTGAATTTAAAAAATTGGAAAAATAAACAAAACCTTTTCTTATGAAATTGTAACTGGGTGGTCCCTAGGAGAAGGGAAGTTCCAGGTTCCCTGCCCCACCCAGAAGGAGGGTGGAACTGAGCAGAGAAAAAGGAGAGAGAAGAAGAGAGAAGGAAGGCAGAAGGCAGATG